GAGAAAAATAAACGCTGTGGAACAGATTGAAGTATACTCCTTCTAGAGATCTTTTCATGCTACCGAAAGGACGTAAAGACAGCAGAGTGACAATAACTCTCAAAAAAGAAACAACAACTTTGAGTTTGAATTTACAAGGCATGTTTCGACATGCTGGCAGTAATGTCAGTTATATTGGTGAGACCACTCGCCACATTTGTACACGAGTTCGTGAGCACCTCTTGTCGGACAAAACTTCGCATATTTACAAACACCTGCAATCATCAAGGGCCTGTCTTGACTCTTGTGATACTGAATGTTTCACGATCTTAGATTCTGCCGCTTCAAAATACCAAATTAAGATCAAAGAGGCATTGCATATTAAGTGGGAAAAACCTATCCTTAATCAGCAATTGAAACATCTAGAATTGTCTCTTTCCTTTTAATTATGTTGTTCCTTGGTCTTTTAATTTATTTTTATTTATTTATTTAATTATTTTTTGATCTAGTCAAGCGCGCCCTATTTACGTTTTTCGCGTTTTTAACATTCAAGTGTAACGTAAGCCTGACACGTAGTTTGTAACGTACCATAATATAAATTCAAATGTACAACAGTTAAATGCTCATTTGCAACTGAAGATGACATGAGAATGTCGAAACATGTCTTGTAAATTTAAANATGTAATAATAATAAAAATAAATTAAAAGACCAAGGAACAACATAATTAAAAGGAAAGAGACAATTCTAGATGTTTCAATTGCTGATTAAGGATAGGTTTTTCCCACTTAATATGCAATGCCTCTTTGATCTTAATTTGGTATTTTGAAGCGGCAGAATCTAAGATCGTGAAACATTCAGTATCACAAGAGTCAAGACAGGCCCTTGATGATTGCAGGTGTTTGTAAATATGCGAAGTTTTGTCCGACAAGAGGTGCTCACGAACTCGTGTACAAATGTGGCGAGTGGTCTCACCAATATAACTGACATTACAGGTACTGGCTGTAATGTCAGTTATATTACGAGAGATCAATTTACGAGCGATCTTTTACGAGTGAACCTTTATCGAGAAATATCAAGCGAAACCTGCTAATCAAACGAGTAATGTCCTATTACGTTTACATGTAAACACAACCGTGTATTTAGACGTGATAGAAAACCCAGTAGAATACCAGAAGCTACTCTGAAACGTCTGAGAAGAAAGGGCAGAAAACTGAAGGAATTTGTTTATGAGCGTATTCGTCCAAGCATACCGAAGTCCTCTTGGCTACGTCGTTATGTGAAGGGTAAAAGAGTTACAAAGAATATTGTGTAAGCTTAATACGAAGAGGGTAAGATTAAATAAATTTACAAAACACCATAAGAAGTATTTGTTGAATTGTTCAGTGAGGGTATATCATAGGATAATGAAATTGTATATATAGAGCAAGGTGGTATTTATCAATGTTTTCTTGTAATAGACCCTTTTGTCTTTATAAGAGTCAGACACACGCATCAAACTGTTGTAAATTTCAACTGAGTTCAGATGTTGAGAAAAATCCTGGTCCTTCTTCAATGTACATTGACCCTAGCAAAACAATAATGGCACCATATAGCCAAGCTGATGAATTGATGATTGGACAAAAATTCAGGACAACAATGAATTGCAATGAGTTTATGCTCTTTGCTTTACAATAACAAACGAGGAATCAATCCTGCTAATGATTTCGTGTCAGTAATGAGTACTGTATTTCAGTTGTATTCATGTTTGTCTCAGTTAACCAGACAATCAGTTTTAATGCAGACAGAATTACCCACACTTTTAAATGTGTTAGAGACTGATTATGAACTTCAACGCAATGAGAGCTACACTGGTTATGAAGAAAGTACAATTAGAAGGATATCAGTACTGTACCTCCTTAGATAGAGCTTTTCAATCATTTATATCTGAAAATTGCAACAATTTTATCGATGCCTATGCAACCATTAAGTTCAATGTGAGTTGTGCTGTGGCTGTCTATTCACTTTGCTACCCCGTAATAAAATCGTGTAGTTATTGGAATTCAAATCCCTTATCTTATGTTATTACACGGGCTTTCCGAAGGAAACCCCCGAGGTATAAATTCGGCTTTGTTTCTTTGTTTTTTTTTTCTTTTGCGTTCGTTCACAAAACGCAGTTCCACTACGGCACATGTGTCAAGTGTATGCGCAGGCGTAGAATGAACTCTAGAGTGCATGGTTAAGCAATGGCTGCCTTCGTGGACTGATGTGCGCGAAAGAAATTCGATGGCTATTACGCTCAGTATACATAGGAAGTCACAAATCGTTATCAGTACACCCGCACTAAAAATCGTGGAGCGTTTTGGGAACGGGTCGGTCCGCGAACTTTACAAGAGATCAATTTACGAGTGAACCTTATATCGAGAAATATCAAGCGAAACCTGCTATATCAAACGAGCTAACTCATATTATGTTTACATGTAAACACAACCGTGTATTTAGACGTGATCGAAAACCCAGTAGAATACAAGAGGCTGCTCTGAAACGTCTGAGAAGAAATGGCAGAAAACTGAAGGAATTTGTTTATGAACGTATTCGTCCAAGCATACCGAATTCCTCTTGGTTACTTCGTTATGTGAAAGCTAGAAGAGTTACAAAGAATGTTTGTAAGCTTAATACGAAGAGGATAAGATTATATAAAGTTACACAACATGAGAAGAAGTATTTGTTGAATTGTTCTGTGAGGGTATATCAAAGGATAATTAATTTGAAGTATAGAGCAGGTCGGTCTTTATCAATGTTTTCTTGTAATAGACCCATGTGTCTTTGTAAGAGTCAGACACGTATCAAACTATTGTAAATTTCAACTGCGTTCAGATATAGAGAAAAACCCTGGTCCTACTCCAATCTACAATGACCCGAGTAAAACAATAACGGCACCACATAGCCAAGCTAATGAGTTGATATTTGGACAAAATTCAGAACAACAGTGTGTTGCAATGAGTTTCTACTGTTTGATTTACAATAAAAAACAAGGAATCAATTCTGCTAATGATCTGGTGTCAATAATCAATATTGGAAATCAGTTGTATTCAAGTTTGTCTCAGTTAGCCAGACAATCATTTTTAATGCAGACAGAATTACCCACACTTTTAAATTTGTTCGAGACTGACTATGAACTTCAATACAATGAAAGTTACACTGGCACTATTCATCAAGAAGCTACAATAGAAGGATATCAGTACTGTACCTCCTTAGAATAGTGCTTTTTTCACTTATAGCCAAAAATTTCAACTATTTTGTCTTGACAATAGGATGTACTGCAGTTGCTACCTATTGTAAAGGTAATGTGGGCTTGAAAAAATTCAATTCTTATGCAAGGGATATTTATGGTAGAAGCCATTCTCAAGGTACATGTGTGCTTCTTGAAGTATCATCACGGAATAGCTTTACATTATTTTCAGAGTATACATGGCGATATGTTTGAGTTGAAAGGGGTTAAAATTGATAAAGTTGAAAATAGTGCCCATTTTCAGTCATGCCTCTGAAACCAGAAAGTTCAATGTGAATTGTGCTGTGGCTGTCTGTTCACTCTGTAACTCCGTAATGAAATCATGTAGTTATTGGAATTCAAACGCCTTATCTAATGTTATACAGTATGGCAAAAGATTAGGGAAACTCATCTTTGAACAAGTATTTACTGTCAGATAATTTGCCAAAAACTGATGTTTGTGGAACTGAAGCAAGTTTAGATCTTAGATATGATTACAGTGAAGGAATATTGTCTGACTCAGTTGACAGCAAATCAATTATCAAAAATCTTGTAAGAAATAATAGTTGAATGCACTGGGTCTTTGATGTAGTTCTCAGATTTTTGTATGACATTAATTTTGAAACCCACAAAAAGGTCAAAATATGTGTATTCCCTCTTGGTATGTAATGAAAGGCGAATGCCTTTAATTCAACATACTAAAACTGTAAATAGCACTGCTTCTCTTGTTGTGGCCATCAGCAGTATTAAATATTCAGAGATTTTTCTATTGAAAACAATATGAACTATTGAACAATAATATTGCCTCAATCTACTGATTTCTGACAACTCTCCTTTGGTGAACATTTGGCAACAAACTTTGACTTGGTACCAATAATAGATAAAAAATTCCCATCTCCTTGCAGTTAAGGACAAGTACATTACCTACTCGGGGTTTGTAAAAGCCTTGAAAGTCCTTGAAAATGCTTGAATTTAAAAATTAAAGACTCAAGGCCTTGAAAGTACTTAAATTTGAGGACTAAGGCTTGATTTTTGCAATGCTCTTCTTTAGCAGTTTTCAAGTTGAAAATTACAGTACTTTCATGGAAAACCTGAGAAATAATATTAAATGATTTTAAAATTGCTTATGCAAACCTTTCCAAAAGTGGCCCTTCAATTTTCTAAAACTTGGCCTTTAAATTCATTGAAAAGTCCTTGAATTTCAACCTTTGGCATCTACTTAACAATTATTCCACGAGCGCGCGTTGGATATGAGATGATAGATAGCCAACGAGGCGCGGAGAGCCGAGTTGGATATAATCATCTCATATCCGGCAAGTGCGAGTGGAATAATTGTTTTATTAAAAACGTTAAATTAAATTATTAAATTTCATTTAATTTTTTAGCGCCCTTTTAATTTTAAGCCGACGCGTACGCCTACCATATTTGTAGATTATGGTATATTGGCTCATATACCATAATGGATAAGCCAATGAAAATTCTTGAATTGCATTATGCAATGATTCAGTTTTTAATAAAGGTACTTACTCCTATATGGCGATATATTATTTTGATTGTTTTCTAGTACTATAACAACATTCATTACACTCCAGCTGACAAAAATAAACACAAGTAGACTTATTCGTGACCGGCAACGATGAAATGGCGTGACGACAGTGACGATGGCAATATGGCAGTCCCCTAAAGATAACTCCAGATTTTCGATATTGAAAGCCCGAGTTCACGCAGATATGCGTCTAGTTCAGTATGGCAAAAGATTATAAGAAAACTCACCTTTGAACAAGTATTTACTGTTAGATGATTTGCCAGAAACTGTTGATGTTTGTGGAACTGAAGTAAGTTTAGATTCTAAAAGTGACGACGGTGAAGGAATATTGTCTGATTCAGTTGACAGCAAGTCAATTCTTGAAAGCCTTGTAGGAAATAATAGTGAATGCACAGGGTTTTTTATGTGGTTTTCAGTTTTTTTGTATGACATGTATTTTTAAACCCATAAAAAGGTCAAAATACGTCTATTCCCTCTTAGTGTTTAATGAAAGTCAAATGCCTCTAATTTAATATACTAAAACTGTAAATAGCACTGCTTCTCTCGTTGTAGCCATCAGCAATATTCAATATTCAGAGATTTTCCTACCAAAAACAATATGAATTATTGAACATTAATATTACTTCAATCTACCGATTTCTGACAACTCCCTTTGGGTGAAGATTTGGCAACAAACTATGACTCGGTACCTATAATAAATAAAAAATTCCCTTCTGCTTTCAGTTAAAGGCAAATACATTACCTACTCAGGGTTCGTAAAGGTCTTGAAAGTCCATGAAGATGCTTGAATTCAAAATAAAAAGTTCAATGCCTTAACAGTACTTGAATTTGAGGACTAGCGGTTCATTTTTGCAATGCTTTTCCTTCAAGCGATTTTTAAGTTAAAAATTACAGTACTTACATGGAAAAGCTGAGAGGTAATATTAAATGATTCTAAATTAAAATTGCTTATGCAAAGCTTTCCAAAAGTGGTCCTTCAATTTTTTAACACTTGGCCTACAAAGGACTACAAAGTCACTGAAAAGTCCTACAGATGCTAAAGGTTGAAATTCAAGGAACCTACTCCTATATGGTAATATTATTTTGATTGTTGTCGAGTACCATAACAACATTCATTACACTCCAATAGACAAAAAAAAAAAAAACATGTAGACTTATTCGTGACCAGTAATGATGAAATTGCGTGACGACAGTAACAATGGCAATAGGGCAGTCCCCTAAAGATAACTTCAGATGTACCATATTGAAAGCCCGAGTTCACGCAGCTATGCGTCTATTTTTATTTTTCTTTAACCATGCCGCTTTTTCTTTTAACTGTACATATCCTATTGTAATCATATACCGTAGCTAGGCCATTAGTAGGCGAAGAGCCACCTTGTGGAAGTACTGCTAATAAAGTCGTTATTATTATTATTATTATTATTATTATTATTATTACTTGTTTTTACTTACATTGTGTAGTCCTTCATGAAGGTTGATTTATTTGTTCAAAATATTAAAGGTAGAGGCGAGATTTCTCTTCGGGATATTCATCAAAAGATAACATTCTTTTAAAGTCTTGCACTTTTCATTTGGCTGAAACGTTTGTTGTTGGGAACATCAGATGTAAACATTGCCAATTTATGCAACACCTGATTTTTGAGCTTCGTTCGCGAATTGCCACTATCAAAATGAGAGGCCGGCGCGCAGAGATTTTTACATTTTTAAAAACTACAATATTATAACCAACTAAATACGTAGTTTCAGTTCCAGAATCGGTGTACTTTTGGAGATATTTAATCAAACGTTTTCCCTGTTTCACCCTACAGAAAAAATTACCGAAATTCTACCAAGATAAATAATCTATTGGTGTATTCACATTTACTCCTAGGAAAAATTGAATACATCAAAGTAAAGACGAATGATGTCACTATGTATGCTAGAAGTACCAATCTGTAATGTTGTATTTAGTTTGAAATAGAGAATGAACATTTTACACTGTTTTTGCAATGTTTTTTATATGAAAATGAGGCCCCAGGCCTCGAATAAGCAGCCGTTGTTACCATGGCAGCAAGAGTGTTGCAACCTTTAAAAAGAGCATTTTTATTCATTCCCCTGAGTGCCTAACTGCATGCAAAATTTGAAAGGGGTTGAAAGTTTTCATTTCTCAAGATGTTTTATTCTTACGGAGACTCGTTCTTAATTATATATCTTGTTTTATTAAAATCTGGATCATTGGATAATGCAATTTAAGACTTTTTATTGGCTCAGCCATTATGGTATATTAGCCAATATACCATAACATAATATCTGTACATAATATCTGATAGCCAACGAGGCGCGTAGCGCCGAGTTGGCTATCAATCATCTCATATCCAACGCGCGCTCGTGGAATAATTGTTATATACCCTTACCGACGCAGGACTAGAGTTTCTTTTGAAACTGAACCCCCATAGACAGGCAGGCAGACAGACAGTAAAGTAGACGAATGTTGAGTAGTAGAGTAAAATGTAACTCAGTAAAAAGATGTTTTGAAAGGATGTCATTAAAGGAAACATTAATTCATGTTTTGTATTCATTTCGGTAGAAGTAGCTGCGTGAACGTGTATTTCAAGTTGGAATTTAAGAGAATAGTTCGAGCTAGCATCATAATTTCCACCCTAAAATATGCTGCGATGGATGGGAAGTTTGGGAGTTTTATTGTCGATCCGTCATCAATCACAATATTGCAAGACGAGACGCCTGCATCAAGTTTGAAGAACAGTGCAGGAGGGGAAGGTGTGTTCACTCACTTTATCTGACCCGTGAATCGTAAATTCACCCGTAAAATTACATGGCAACCGGGTGCAAATGAATCAAAAGTAAAATATATATATATATATATAACTAACTGCAGACAGTACTGTTTCGGCCTTCTGGGCCTCATCAGTGCAGTGCTAATGCTAGGATGGAGGAGAACC